AGTAGACCGAGAACGGACAAAAATCGTTCATTATAAGCTTTTTGTTTCAGATTCTGAAGAAATCAATTTTTCTTCGCTTGCCAAAGAGCTACCTGTTGAATTCCTGGAAAAGATTAGAGGTCAAGCTGTTCGGGTTTGATGATCCCAATTCAACGACTGACCAATAATTATCTGGAGTGATGAATTCTGCAGAACCAGTTCTGGTATTAATCCGTCGTGATCGTATCAATTGCTATTTGGCAACAAGAATTCTCACAAAAATCGCATAAATATTGTCTGGTGCAGCCGCCTGGTCGACAGCAGTCTGAGATTATTTCTGAAAAACCTATATTTATGGAAAATAATTCATTGCGGCTGTTTCCCACCGTAGTGATCTTCGTAAATTTCTCAAAAATTACTTTTCGCCAGAAAATTGTAAGGCATCTTCTCAATAAAATCATCGTTGTTTTGTCATAGTTGTTGAAATAAACAGCGAAAATGCAAAAGAATTGAGCAACTATGAGTACCTAGATGTGAAAACGCCAGTTAGTGCATTCATTTCACGTCGCATAGTGATATTAAATTCAAATAATTCACCTTTTCCGGCGTACTTAAGGGCATGTTTAAGTACCCCACCACTTCTCCTACAAATTCTCTGCAGTGTAAAGCGATCCTTCACTGAGCATACTTTGTACCGCTCCATGCACTGATCCAGAACGCATACCGATACTGTTATACATGCAGCGCAAATGAACAGCACACCGATGACATTCATCTAAAACATTCGTTCATACTGTAGGAATACGGTACAACGAACACTTTCCTCATCGGCTGACGTAACACAAACTAATTGAAGCCATATGTACTTGCTACGGCTGTGAACAATCAAGCGCGACTGGTTGACAAAACAGAATAATGAATTTTGGGCTGTGTATTACAGTGGAAGCAAGCAGAAGCAACGAGATCGGGGAAGTACATGCATATTTTTTTAAGCATGAGGGCGTCGGAAATTTTGCTAGGAAAAAGAGGGTTACCAAACCCAGGTGAAATTTTTTAAATCTAAGCCAAAATAACCTTGGAAAATTAGATGGAGTAGACTGGAAGCGAAGCGGCCACGTCCAGTGGTGATCAGCGTAAAAAGTATGAGTTTCGATGCGAACACAAGCACAGATAGTAGTTTTATAGAGTTAATGAAGGTGGACCCCGCCCAGTTCATCGGTACCGACATCATCAACAAATACAGGACATTCCTGTCAAGAGCAGCCCCGCCTCCAATGCTTTCACTTCTCCTGCTATGACATTTTTCACAAACAAGCATACAATACACCTCATAGACTAACAGACTTTTCAAAGCAGTCAGATATGCGGCTGGCTAGTTACAGGGTTTGTGAGAATAAGCCTACTTTAATGAAAAACCTAGCTACGGTTGCTAGCTAACCAGGCGATTAATAAGAACATAGAGGAGTAAATGGTGACAGTCGTCAAATGTTTCAACGAAGCGCAGAATTTGCGATAACAAGCCAACTTTGCGGGAATATCCAGCTACTGTAACTTGCTAATTAATCGGGAAGTCGGTAGAAACATGCCAATAACTAAAGCGTGATACTCGGCCAATGTTTCGATAGAACATGCAACTATTAGCCACGAATCAGGCGTAAAGCTGGTTCTCGCATGATGAAAAAGGCAGCGTACCCTTTTT